CTTAATTACTCAAACATTACAAAGATTTGTTCATCCTGTGAAATATTATGATTGTAATCATCTTGTACTAAGGTAAATATCATGGTGTCCACAGATAACTCAAAATCCAATGCTGGACTATATTTTAATGAAGTTAAAGATTGTTTTGCTGATAATAAAATGCATTACATTACAGAAATCTAAAGCCCTGTGTCCATAAATTTGTATTTTTATATCATGATGCAATATATGTCTTTAAATTTACATTCATGTCTACATATCTATCAGTGTTGTGGCCCACCAATGGCCTGCGCGGATTGTGGCTGATCCCGACTACGAGGAGGCTGGTGTGGTGTCGCGCCAGCAGCCTGCGCAGCTTGGGTCGGACAGTGAGGAGGCCAAAGAGGATGTGATGCCAGAGGCAGAGACTCAGCCAGGGCCTTCAGAACCTCCAGAGGCTCCTTCCAGTGGAGAGAGCGAAGTGGAGGAGCCTCTCCTCAATGCTCGGGCACGCAGGGCTGCCAAAAGGCAGGAGTGGCTACTTAGGAGGAGGAGGTCTACTCGAGAGTAGGGCTTGAGGATAATTGGCCACTCCCTTAGCCTATTTAAGTCGCACGCAGCTAGTGCTTTCTTGCTAGAAACAACGTCTCATTACTACAGAGCATCTTGGAGAGCGAGCAACTTCTCATATCAGGTTTTCTGGGCTGGTTGCCAACCTTTGTCGGACTTTGTTCTTAATAACTTTGATAAGGACCCTTTGCACAGGAACCCTGCATTCTTGAAAGGGGTTTGTTTGAAATTAAACAGTGTTTGCGAAGCTTGGTGTGTGTCACATTCTCTGGGATTCCGAAGCTGGGGCAGAACAATCACATCAATTAAGGAAGGGAGGTTTTAAAGGGGGATACTACTCCTTGCCCTTTCATGGATCACTGCCTTGCCGCGGCAAAGTGGCTTGCATAGCTCAATGAAGCTATGAGCTATATTGTGCAGGGCCATCCAAGATGTACAGGTCATAGCAGAGAGTTCTGACAAAATGTGATCCAATGGAGAAGGAAATGGCAACCCATTCCAGTATCTTTGCCATGAAAATCCCCAAAGGCAAAAAGATATAACCCTGGAAGATGAGCCCCTCAGGTCGGAAGGTGTCCAATATGCTACTGGGGAAGAGCAGAGGGCTAGTACTAGTAGCGCCAGAAAGAGTGAAGTGACTGTGTCAAAACTGAAAGGACACTCAGCTGTGGATGTATCTGGTGATGAAAGTAAAGTCCGATACTGTAAAGATCTATACTCCAAGGACCTTGGAATGTAAGATCTATGAATCGATGCAAGATGATGTGGCCAAACAAGAGATGACAAGACTGAAACATCAACACTTTAGATATCGGCGAACTACAATGGACAGGAATGGGTGAATTTAATTCAGATAACTATCAGATATACTACTCTTGGCAAGAATCCCTCAGAAGAAATGGAGTAGCCTTCATAGTCAATAAAAGAGTAGGAAAAGCAGTACTGGGATACAATCCACAGAATGACAGAATGATCTCAGTTCGAATCCAAGGCAAACCATTCAACATCACAGTAGTCCACATCTATGGCCCAACCACTAGTGCTGAAGAGGATGAAGTTGACTGATTCTATGAAGCCCTACAGCACCTTCTAGAATTAACACTAAAAAATGATGTCCTTATCATTTTTGAGGGGATGGGGGATTGGAATACTAGAGTAGGAAGGCAAAAGATAACCAGAATAACAAGCAAGTTTGGTCTTGGAGTACAAAATGAGACAGGGCACAGGCTGGTAGAATTTTGTCAAAAGAATATGATGGTCATAGCAAACACGCTATTCTAACAACCCAAGAGACGTCTCTAGACATGGACATCACCAGACGGTCAACACAGAAATCAGATTGACAAAGTGCCGGGCAGCCAAAGATGGAGAAGCTCTATACAGTCAGTAAAAACAAGACCAGGAACTGACTGTGGCTCGATCATTTTTTTTAAAATTTGATTTATATGCTGCCCTTCTCCGGAGACTCAGGGCGGCTTACAATGCATTAAGCAATAGCCTTCATACTTTTGTATATTTATACAAAGTCAGCTTATTGCCCCCACAAACTGGGTCCTCAATTTACCTATCTTAGAAAGGATGGAAGGCTGAGTCAACCTTGAGCCTGGTGAGATTCGAACTTACAGTAATTGCAGACAGCTGGATGTTAATTACAATGCATTAGTCTGCTGAGCTATCCAGGCTCCTCTGGATCATGAACTTCTCATGGCAAAATTTAGGCTTAAATTGTAGAAAGTATGAAAAATCAGTAGGCCACTCATGTATGAAATAAATCATATCCCTGATGAATATACAGTAGAGATGACAAATAGATTTAAAGAATTAGATCTGATAGACAGAGTGCCTGAAGAACTATGGATGGAGGTTCACAACATTGTACAAGAGGTAGAATTAAAACCATCCCATAGAAAAGAAATGCAAGAAAGCATAATGGCTCTCTGAGGAAGCTTTACAAATAGATGAGGAAAGAAGGGAAAGCAAAAGGAAAGGGAGAAAGAGAAAGATACATCCAATTAAATGCAGAATTCCAGAGAATAGCTAGAAGAGATAAGAATGCCTTCTTAAATGAACAGTGCAAAGAAATAGAAGAAAACAATAGAATAGAGAAAACTAGAGAGCTCTTCAAAAAAATTAGAGATATGAAGGGAAAGTTTCATGCAAAGATGGGCATGATAAAGGGCCAGAAAAATTATAGAAGAAAGAGATTAATGTCCCTGATAACCACGATGGGTAGTCACTGACCTTGAGCCAGACATCCTGGAATGTGAAGTCAAATGGGCCTTAGGAAGTCTGAGCAACAACAAAGCTAGTGGAGGTGACAGTATTCCAGCTGAGCTATTCAAAATCTTGAAAGATGATGCAATAAAAGTGCTACATTCAATATGCCAACAAATTTGGAAAACTTAACAGCGGTCACAGGATTGGAAAAGGTCAGTTTACAATTCCAATTCCAAAGAAGGGCAATGTCAAAGAATGCTCAAACTACAGCACCATTTCACATGCTAGCAAAGTTATGCTCAAAATCCTACAAACTAGGCTCCAGCAGTATATGGACCAAGAACTACCAGAAGTGCAGGCAAGATTTAGAAGAGGCAGAGGAACTAGAGATCAAATTGCCAACATATGCTGGATCATGGAGATAGCTAGGGAGTTCCAGAAAAACATCTACTTCTGCTTCATTGACTATGCTAAAGCCTTTGATTGTGTGGATCACAACAAATTGTGATACATTCTCAAAGAGATGGGAGTGCCAGACCATCTTATTTGTCTCTTGAGAAACCTATATGCAGGTCAAGAAGCAACAGTGAGAACTGGACATGGAACCACTGATTGGTTCAAAATTGAGAAAGGAGTTCAGCAAGGCTATATACTGTCGCCCTGCCTATTTAACTTATATGCAGAGCACATCATGAGAATGGTGGGGCTAGATGAATCAAAAGTTGGAATTAAGATTGCCGGGAAAAATATCAACCTCAGATATGCAGATGATACCACTCTAATTGCAGAAAAAATGAAGAGGAACTAAAGAGCCTCTTGATGCGAGTAAAGGAGGAGAGTGCAAAAGTTGGCTTGAAACTCAACATTAAGAAAACTAAGATCATAGCATTCGGCCCTCTCAATTCTTGGGCTCCAAGATCACCGCACAGGGGAAGAAACCAAAAGACGCTTGTTCCTGGGAGGAAAGCTTTCGCAAATCTAGACCGCATACTAAAAAGCAGAGACATCACCCTGCCAACAAAAGTGTGTTTAGTTAAGTCTATGGTTTTCCCAATTGCACTGTATGGTTGTGAAAGTTGGACCATAAGGAAGGCTGAGCGGCAAAGAATTGAAGCCTTTGAACTATGGTGCTGGAGAAGACTCTGCAAGGTGATCAAATCGGTCAGTCCTAGAGGAGATCAACTCTGACTGCTCTTTAGAAGGCCAGATCCTGAAGATGAAACTGAAATACCTTGGCTACTTAATGAGAAGGAAGGACTCACTGGATATGAGCCTAATGCTGAGAACAATTGAGGGCAAATGAAAAAAGGGATGACAGAGAATGAGGTGGCTGGTTGGAGTCACTGAAGCAGTCGGCATCAGCTTAAATGGACTCTGGGGGATGGTAGAGGACAGGAGGGCCTGGACGAACATTGTCCATGGGGTTATGATGGGTTGGACACCACTTCGCGACTAACAACAACTACTTCTTGCCTGAAAATTATAAAAGTGACATCTATATTCTACTATCTTCATCCATTTCTATACACTATTTTGCAGTTAGAACAAATTTCACACTACATAATGCTAAGTGCAAATATGAATATGTATCTGAAAATTCATTATAAGCTATTTTAGACGTATTATAAGTATAATTCTGATTTATAAAACAAGTTACATCATTACTTTTGTACTATGGTGTCAGAATTTTTAAAATTCCTCCACTCAAAAAGATGGATTGATGGAAGTTCTTTATGGATTTAGGCCTATATAAACCCTTTATAGCAATGTAAGAAAGGGATCAAAGCTGAGCAGAAAAAAAGAAAAGGAGCATAGATATCACATGCACAATTCCACCTCATTGATCCAAATCAATCACTCATTCTTTCACAAACTTTTATTCCTTCTCACAGATACACATAAATTCAGAAGGGAAATGACAAGTTTTAATTTAGAATATTACCTTGGTCCATCCTTCCCAGATGCAGTTTAATGAGCTAAATGGCAGAGAACAGCTTTATAAGCTGCAAAAACGTGGCTGAGTGAGAAATCACCCAGTTGCTAGAAGTCAATGCTTTATCTATGGCACTGTGAGAAACAATTAGGCTGCCATCCTTTATTATAATATGTTTTCATTCTGTATGTGTGTGTGTGTACACATATGTGCGCGCACACACATGCACACACGCACAAACATAGATTAATATTTATCTTCCAAACAGTTCAATAAAACTATTTTGGCATAAAATCCTTACCCTGACAGGTGCTGTTCTTCTCCTCATATCCTGCCTTACATATGCATTTTCCAATAGGCACCAGCCATTCCCCTTCAGCACTGCAATGCATCCTTGGGGGTTCATCAGTCATTGAATTGTTCACGCACGACCCTAAAACTTCTAGTAGCTGTGAAGAATCAGCTCCAGTGATGGTGTCAGGAAAGATGGCAAGGTTTCGAATCACCAGAGGGCACTTTTTATAATAGACTCGGACAGATACCAGTGCAATGCAGGCACCCACATCCTGGAAAGCAAGGTAAAAGCCCTTTTTGGTTAGAGGTCCAACATCTCTCACCTCTGTATTTAGCTTCATGACTCTATCTCCAAGATCTAATTCTGTAAAACTCTCATCTGCTGCAATGGTATCAATCTTGATGTATTGGTTTTCTTTCACATTCCTCCCGTCTTCATAATCAGATTCAAAGTAATACATATTAAAAGTCTCTTTGCAAGTTCCAAGACCTCCTGGAAGGCTGTTACAGTCTCTAAGGGTAAATTTTAGTTCAATGAAGATCCGAGAGGCTCCTTTGTTAGAGATCCAGCTTGTCAAAAGCCAATTATTCTGAGTCTGTTCCATCACTCTACACACTTGATATGTGTGGATTGGTGCATAATTTTCATCGACCTCACCAATTTCTTCCCACTAGACAAAGAGGGGGGAGGGAGAAAGAAACAGAAAAAAAAAATTAAAAATCAGATTGCAAACTCCAACAATTCTACCTCTGCTAGTATAGATGAAGCAAGTAATAATGGGAAAAAAAGGTAAAAGTACCAAACCTTATCTATACTTTTAAATACTGAAGTATGTTTTTTTTCTCCACAAGTTGTCCATAGCAGCTAAAAAAACCAGATTTTACACTGTTCTTCCTAAGCTTTGTTTTCTAATTATTGATACATTAGATTTTTGTGATATGTAACAAGATTGTAAAATAAGATAAAACTCCCTTAACAGCTATTTTGTTTAGCAACAGCAATGTTAGGCTCAATTGTGGTTATAAGTTGAAAACTGCTCTGCTGTACTATATATATAGACTCTTTTCAAAGCAGAACACCTAAAAATAATTTTGAAAATAGGAAATTAGTTTACTTTGAAAATAAAGCACTCCTAAAGGGAAAAAATTGCCACAGCTGAAGTACTTGGTTAGAAGACAAATCTAGAAACTGATCCTCATAGTTTCCCATTTAATGGTAAGCATTTTTAAGTGAATTACTATACTATACATACTTCAGAGAAAAAGATAAAAAAATTTTTTAATATTTTAAAAATAATCCTTTTCCTGGGCGAGGTTGTTAGTTTATTCAATTTATAATTGATTGGATAATTTGTCTTCTATCTACATTTTCTAATAATGATATCAACCCTTTTATTCCTGTTTCCTAGTGCATTTGGTGCAAGTCCAGATTTTCTTGAAGTGTGAATATTAAGGCACCCACAAAACAAACATCCACTGTGAATAGGAATTCATGTTATCACAGGACCAGAGGTCTAGTCAATTCTACATCACTGCATAGTTATGCTTTGGTCATAAATATGAAATAGGCCATACCCAATAAATTACTTAACTGTATCTTGGCTGAAGCGAATTCCATTGCCCAAGTTCAGATCTGGGCTTGCCTACCTGATTTTCTCTAGAATAAGTAAGCAGTGTTACTTAGAACAATATTCAAATATACTACAACTTGAAGGTTAGCTAGTATCTACAATGCCATTCAAGAATCCACCTCTGGAAAACATAATAAAAATGATTTCTGTGGTACCAAAAGTTGGTAATACTACAATACTAAGGAAAGTATTTCATCTACAGTACTAAGGGAACTATTGTAGATGAAATATATGGCTAAAATGTTAAAATACTGCAGAAGCTCAGACTTGTACATATTTGACAAAACAACTTTTTCAATTAAAAAAATCTGGTCCCACTGCTTGAAAAAATATAGACCTTTCCAATATGGCACTTTGAACATTAAGAAACCAATTCTATTTTTGAAATCTGAACACATTCTTTATATCCACTGTCATACAACTGTACTGCTTTTTAAAAAGCAACATTTTATAATTATTAAGAATCTATTTCTTACATTTACCAATCACAACAGCATCAGAATATACATTATGTTCTTTCAGACTCTCATTATAACCAGATCAATAGTAGCCTCTTCTTTTGCTTTCTGCTAGTTTCCTCTATATTAAACCCTTTCAGACAGGGATCATGGCTACCACAATCAAAATTTATCTCTTTCATGTACATCAAGGGAACAGACATTTCAAAGCTGGCCATGTAAGTCTGCACACAATCATAAGAGAAAATTATAGTTACAAAGAAAGGAGCTACAGATGTTTCCTTGTGATTTCAGCTTTCCTCCAGACTTTGTCTTTATCTGAACAAATATCTATACAACAGTGGCAAATATTCTGTCTTTCTGTCGGCAACATTTTGGTAAAGTCCTTTTTTTATCTCTTTCCTTAAAGGGAACTATAATAAACATTGGGGGAAAAAATCTTCACAGATCCAGAAAACAAACTTATAAAGGTGGCAAAAATAGTTGACAGAATATTGAATATGTTTTTGGAAGGATATTCTTATCTTCTTCCATAGATCAAGCTACATGATAATGTTGCAAGATTCACAATCTAATTAATTAATTAATTAATAATTATTCAGGATGTCCAGAAGGAAGTGATTTTCCAGATGCAGAGTATAGATAGTTCTCAACTTAAAACAGTTCATTCAGTAACCTTTCAAAGTTACAATAGCACTGAAAAACAAGACCAATGACCATTTATCACACTGATGCAGCATCCCCATGATCACCTGATCAAAATTCAGATACTTGGCAACTTACTCATATTTATGACGGTTAAAAATAAAGCAATTCTACAGCCTTCACTAAATAACATTTTGTATTCTACATTAAAATTAAATATGTTTTTAAGAAGAAGGCAGAGAGACATCAATTGAAAAAAAAAAGGCTGCTTAATAAGAAAAACATATTTTTTACTTTGAACACACCACTTCCTACTTTGATCATACCTACCTGATCTGCCATACTCCCATGCAGCCTTAAACATATTCAACAAGCTATAGATGAAGCTCATGACTATACACTCATAAGTAATGTTCATCTACAGCCGTGATGGTGGCATGCGTGCCAGAGGTGGCATGCAGAGCTCTCTTTGTGGGCACATGCGCCATCACTAGCTACTCTTCTGGTTTCCAGCGTGCATGCATCAGAGCACTGGAAACCCAAAGACCAGCTGGTTAACACCCGCATGCGCTCCGGCCAGCTGGACTTTGGGTTTCTGGTGCATGCTTGTGCGTGTTCTGATTGGGGCACTCGGTGCCGAAAAGGTTCGCCATCACTGCTTTAGATAATACCAAGTATGTTAGAGTTATATTCCTTAGCAAAAAATTCTGAAATATATTAATGTGAGAAAGAGAATTTATTGTACTTTAAATTTGGTGACTTAGAAAAAATCCATGATGAAGTGAATATGCTTGAATTATCTCAAGCTTTTTATTTTGGGGAATTACTATTTTTTCCTCCCTTTTTCTACTTTATTGAATTTGAAAGGAAGTAATTAGATCAATATCCGTTTATTTTCATTTGCAAAAGTTTATACCACAAAGGTTGTTTTTCTGTCTTGTTTTGGTTTGTAGTAATAAGAGAATGAAATATTTGTATCTTAGAGTGAAGGACAGCGTCAGGCCTGGCAGCCATCTTTTGCATTGGAACACTGACAGACAGTTTGAAGCTCTAAAACCTCTTTATTTTTTCTTTGTTTTGTTCTATTTGAAGTAAACTTGGATATGCATAATTAAATGTGCTCAAACTTTTGTGTTATTGTCTTTGTTATATTGTCATTTTGTTCTCATTCTAGATATGGAGGAGAAATTCATTTGATCCAAATTTTATGCAAATCTATTCAGGCGCTACGCACCTCTCCAAATCAGCAAATTCTTGCATATTATAAATTACTATGCAGAATTTTGATGACATTAACAATTTAAAAAGTACACAAAAATGAAAAAAGACAATGTTTATATTGATTTTGATTTTCAGGAAGAAAAATATTTAAAATAGTTGCATGAATTGGAAGAAGAAATGTTAAAGAAATGCACAAAAAATATGTACATATGTAAATGCATTTGGAAGAGATAGTGTCTAATGGATGCAGCAAACAAGACAGAAACTAAGACTGGGATAATTGGGAAACTGAGAAAATCAACTCTGACAAATTAATCCAGTGGTTGTCAACCTGTGGTCCGCGGACCCAGAGGTGTATGTTGTTATGACTGTGAAGGCTAGATGCAGTCTGGTGCTTTAAATCTTGAATTAAGTCTTGATGGTCTGTGGCCATAAAAGGTATTTAAAGGAAGTCCATGGTGAAAAAAAGGTTGAGAACTACTTAATTAATCCATTCCCAAATCTCTAGGTTGACATAGACAAAGATTTATTTTTGATCTGCTGTAGCAAGAATTATATATACTGTAGAGCAGTGATGGTGAACCTTTTCGGCACCAAACTGGCCCAAATTGGAATGCGCACGTGCATGTGCCAGAAACCCAAAAACCAGCTGGCTAGTGCGCATGCCCGCATCGGCCACCTGCTCTTTGGGTTTCCGGTGCTCCGGCACACGCGAAGACCAACTGGCCAGTGTGCATGCACGCACCGGAAACCAGAAGAGTAGCTGGTGACGGCACGCATGCCCACAGAGAGGGTTCTGTGTGTCACCTCTAGCACTCATGCCATAGGTTCACCATCACAGCTATAAACTGTTTTGGTCAGTTGAGATTTTTTTTTTCATAATGCTTTTTATTAATAAAAAAAAGTAGAACTATGTAACCAGGCATGCAACATGTAGCACTCCCTGCTATCAACATTGACTATCAGTTCTGGCACATTTTGACCAATCCTATAATCTACAAACAAACCTATGACTTTGATTTGTCAAAAGTATGATCACATTATTCTATGGACGTTAGGATCTCTAAGCTAATGACAACCTTACAAGTTAATGTATTATTCACCATATCCTATAATTAAGCGATACCTAAAGCATAGTGATGTAACACTCAAGATGCACAAAAGAATATTCTCAGATACGCATTCTTCAAGAATTGACAATAGCAGAAATATACAGCTGATTTTGTTGAGAATTTGCTATTTGCAATGGTGGCGAATCTGCTATTTCACATCATCTGCCTGATCTTTCTGATTTGCGAAGAGCTTTTTACATAGATTTAACAATCATGGTCGAGGCCTTAACAACTGCCCCATAAATCAATTTCAAAATGTTTTATTAATCATCTTTCTGTAATCAGTAGTTATTCAATGCAAATTTACATCTCATTTCTGTTGGCCAAATGCATTATAGCTATGAAGTTTAGTCAAGCTTAAATAATTATATATCCCCAAATAAACAGTGAAGTCTTCTCTGTCTAGTATCATGAGTTTCATTAACAACACTGCAAAGGAACATTGTGTCAGGGTTCCAAGTAACACCCCCAGTAGAAGTAAAACTCCAAAGCAAGCATTCTTCTCAAAGTTCCATTTTATTAGAGATGTCATATTGGCACATCTGGGAAAACCTGAATCTGAAAGGCTTCCAGGTTTTCCCCACCTAAATCAAAATCAAAATTC